CCGTAGGTCGCAGACCGTGTAGTCAGCTTTTCCAGCCCGAACCCTTCCTCATTCACTCATCGTCAGGGCACAGACTGAGGGGGCTTCTTGATGGGGAATATACCCCGGGTTCAAGCTCTCCGTACACTCCGTGTTCTCATTTTATAGTCGGGTCGGGGTCAAACGGTTCTAGTCCTGGTCTACGGTTCAAAGTCAAAGATAGCGGGTCAATCCGTGAGCCTATATAAGGGCCATTGACCCTCCTTTTTAGGGGGTTCTTTCCTCTCCACTCTCCCTCTCTCTAAAGCACTCTCTATTAGAAAGAGGATTTTTTTAGGAATTGGGCGGGAAGTTAAAGTTTAGGATTTTGTTTTTATATATAGTATAGGTTAGAATAGGAATTGTATTACACTATTTTATAATATTAGAATAAGCATTTTAACTTATAATTATAGTACGAATATGAAAGTAGAAAACAATATATTTTTATTAGAAAGAGAGATTTTTAAGCAATTGGGCAGGAAGTTAAAGTTCAGGATTTTGTTTTTATATATAGTATAGATGTGTGTGTGTGTGAACTGTAAAACTATGTTGATGCAAAAGGATTCAAACCCTTGACCTTTACTATTTCCAAACATGTGTTCTACCAACTAATCTAACTCATTTATTATTAGAGGTAATACCATCCGAGGTCCTCCGAGTATAGTGGTTTTGCCATATTTAGTCCTAAACTTTCAAATTGACCATATATGGTCCTTCGAATTTCAAATTTAATCATTTGTGGTCCAAGTTAACCACTCATGGTCCTTCAATTATTAAAATTTAACCAACCATGGTCCTTTCAAGAGGATCACAACTGGTTAAGTTTTGAAACTCGAAGGACCATGAGTGGTTAACTTGGACCACAAATGGTTAAATTTGAAAGTTGAAGGACCACAGATGGTCAATTTGAAAGTTTAGGACTAAACGTGGCAAAACCCCTATACTCGGAGGACCTCAAACGATATTAACTCTTTTATTTAATAGTTTTTTTTAAAGTAATAATAAAACTTGTACTATATATACATATATACATACAAAGATTATATATGGGGTAGGGGTGGGGTGAGGGGGGGGGAGCTGCCCCTACCCCCCTTTGGCTCCGTCCTTGGGTAGCCCGAATTACTAAACCCGATAAAGAACGTAAATAATGAGAGTATTTTAAAGAAGACAGAAAAGATAAGTAAAAAGGCTAAAATACCCGATTTATTTTACCTATTTATATTTTTCAGTGAGTTTTGCAGGGCAATTTGATCAGAGTGACCAAAATTGATAAAAATTGAATAGTTAAGATACTAAATTGACAGTTTTAAAAGTCATGGATTGAAATTAACAAGACCTCAATAATTATAGGACCAAAAGTGAAATTAACTACAAAGACATATCTTTCACATTTTCAATGGCCAAAAGAAACAAATCAACGGAGCAGAATATCATAGCTCAAAATATCCTCGTTGAATGCAAAAGGGTGTTAAGCAGGGTGGAGGAATGGAATGTTTCTCTGATCTTGCGTGAACAAAATCGTGTTGCGGACGCATTAGCAGCCATATCCAAAATTCTACCAAGAGGATTATAGCTCCTCGAAGTTCTGCCGGATGAGGTCAAGGCAGTGCTTGAAGATGCCGAATGTGGAGTTCTGGCAGGGCGCCAAACCTTTATCTGATCAGTTGTTATATCGTGGACCGCGGTGCACGTACACCACAGTCAAAACGGCGCCGTTTCTTTAAGTAAAGAAACGACGCGCTGTTATAGTTAACGGAGTGCACATATTTGGTGTATTAATTATTAACTGATACTATGTATCTAAACCGATACTGCCTCACGTATTGTTTTATATATTATCAACTGAAACTGCAATTCAATTGAAGTGAAACTGATATCTAAACTGACATTACCTCACGTATTATTTTTATATTATCAACTAAAACTGCAATTGAATTGAAATGAAACTGCAGTATATATAAAATAAAATTGAATAACATTTCACATTTTTGAGTGTACATTGAGTAATGAAGCTGTAGTTATATCAAAATGATCATGTAGTTCTGTTTTAATGAAACTATGGTGTATATAAAATAAAATTAATTAACATTTTCACATATTTGGTGTTATAATATCGAATGAAAATGTAGTTATATGATATGAAACTGTAGTTACATCGAAATGAAACTACAGTGTATACAAAATAAAACTGAATAACAAAGTTACTTTTTGCGAAATGGCGCAGAACGGCACGAAACAGATAGCGTTTGTTTTCATTAAATAACACGACGTCGTTTTGACGCGCGGTGCATAATCAATTATGCACCGCGGTGCATGATATAATTTGCCCTAGCTGATTGAAATTGTATTTCGGTCTTGTATGGTTCACCCCTCCATTAAATATTTAAAAAAAAAATTAAATTAAGTAAATATTATTATAGTTTAATTTTTACCATAAAAGAGAAAACAGTTAAAAAAAAATAAAAAATAAATGCCATGACTTTTTCTCAGGTCCACACGTTTTTTAGTGGCAATGGTGATTTCTTCATTTCGATTCTCTAATATAGATTGACTTTTATATAATTTGTTATATATATAAATTGGAGTAATATATCATTGCTAATCTCTACCAGGGTATACATCTTAATATCGTATTGTGTTTCTATTCCAAAAGTAGCCTTCTTTCTCCACTACAATTTTTAATTCTTAATCCTTATATTTCAAATCTAGATTGTGTTGTTTTCTTTACTGCCCTCAATTTCGAATCCTTAATTCTTGCATTGTATTTCAGATCTAGATTGTGTTGTATATATATATTTTTTTATGTTTCTCTACTACAATTTCGAATTCACACCCTGCATTGTAATTTAAATGTAAATGATGTTCTATTCTTTTCGATTTTCATACATCAATTTCAAATTCTTAATCCCTGCATTGTATTTTAGATTTAGATTCTATTGTATTCTTTTCGTCTTCTCTGTTGCAATTTTGAATTCTTAATCCCTACACTCCGGATTTAGATTTTGTTGTATCATTTTCGGTTTCTCTATTGCAATTTTGAATTCTTAATTCATGCATTTCAGATTTAGATTGTGTTGTGTTGTATTCTTTTCAATTTCTCTTATGCAATTTTGAATTTTTAATCCATGCATTTCAGATTTAGATTGCTTGGAATTTGGATTCAATCAGTTAATTGGATTTAAAATTCTGCGCTTTTTTCCAGATTAAAGTTATGGTGAGCAACGATGAGCTGAGTGAGAGTCAGAGGGGTGCTAAATTGGAGGCGGAATACGACAAGTTGTATGCTTCTGTCATGAAAAGGAAAAGTTTGATTGACGAGATGCATGTCACTGTAGACGAGCTGACCCACAAAGCGGAGGAGACCAAAAAGGCTTTCGATCATGAGGTTAAGATGCTAGTGACTTTGGTGCACAAATTGTCTGATCAAATAATTGCTTTAAAGAAAATTGTTTTAAAGAAAAAATGTCAAATAGACCGTTGAATTTTTACATTTTATCTATACTAGTTTTTTACGCGCATATATAATTGAATGTTGAATTTGCCTATTTAAATAGGTAATTTTAAATTTATAAATGCAAGATAATATAGTCAAGATTGATTATAATTGTCAATAAAATAATTGTAATTGTCAATAAAATAATTGTATAGGTATGGTTGAAACCAAATACGGGACATAAGGGAGGGCAACTAAAAATTAAGGCATAAAATATTAAATGTATACTAATATTGAAGAGCTAACTGCTGATTGCCAAACAAGGACATTGGGAGGTAGTTTTTGCACTTCAATTTGTTGTGTGATTCGGATACTCTTTTTGTCAATAAATCCCACAAGTAGTTAATTAATATGATTGGCTTAATTATATTTTTTTTAAACAATTATTATTGTTATTGTTATTGTTATTATTATTATTATTATTATTATTATTAAATATATGTATCATTTGGTCATTTTACATTTTAATCTAAACAACTAATTGTTTTAAATATATTTTTGCCAACTGTTGATATAATTTGCTGGTCAAATCCGCTACTATAATCCGTTACCGCTAACTGCTCATTGTCAAACAAGGACATTGTAAGGTAGTTCTCACTTCAATTTGTTGTGTGATTTGAATACTTTCTTTGCCAACAAATCTCTCAAGTAGTTAATATTATTGACTTTATTAATTATATATTTTTTTAATTTTTTCATGGTAATAATAAAATACTTGGTAAATAAATATATAGCTTATTTTGTATTATAACTTTGATATTTAATTTAAAAATAGTGCACAAAAAAAAAAAGATAATAGACAATTTAGTGAATATAATCAATTGATGAATTTGAATGTAAAGAAATTTTTACGTTAGAGAAAAATAAAGACAATATAACTAATAAAAATTATTTCTCTTAATTAATTTATTGATAATGAATAATTTTTTTTTAATAAAGACATTGTAGGGACAATGTAGCGAATATAATCAATTGATGAATTTGAATATAAAGAATTGTTATATTGGAGAAAAATAAAGACAATATAACTAATGAAATTATTTCTCTTATTTAATTTATTGATAATGAATAATTTTTTTTTTGAATAAAGACATAGTAGACACATAATTCTAAACTAAAGAAATGCATATGTATTATTTTTTGTTGTAGCTACTAAATCATTATTTAATTTAATAAAAGTAAAATAGAGTACTAATTATGCCAACTTTGATTGGGATGGGGTTCGAACCTAAGACCTTTGTTATTGAAATCAATGAGTAAGTTAATGGTGAACTAACAGAAATTAACGGAAAAAGATAATATTTAACAGAAAAGTTAACGGAAAATCATATTCATTAAGGATAAATTATGAAATCTTAAGGAAAAATTAAAATCTGATCAATCTGAGCCATTCATTTGATAAAAAAATTTGACCGCCATTTTTTCTACCCATTATCTGCTAAGTATTAGGGTTAGTTTAAATCTAAACTTTAAAACAGAAATGTTTTTAAAAAAGGTTAATATTAGAAAATACTTGTTTGTACTTTTGATACAAAAGAGCAGTTGGAATGCCAACCAAATCAGCCACTTCACAATCCCAAAGCAGGAATGGTGCATCCTTAGTTTTGTCTAAAACTCTAACCAAAATTTTATACCTTGCTGTACCTTCTTGGTAGTGTTTTTCACACTTGTCACATACTAGGGACCCTTCAAATTCTTTGAGTTTCTTGTTACAGCCAGGTTTCATGCAGGCCATGTAGTACCACTCACCTCTTGAAGCCTCTATAGCAATTATTTCAGCAGGAACAAAATACTGACCATCCTGTAATTTAGTTAGAGAAAATATGTTAAATATAAGATCAACAATTCAAATTACAAAAAATGCGTAGAGATAACTCACCCCTTGGATTTTATAGAGATAAAAAATTATTGAGACAATTGTTTCACCATTTTGGAAACGTTCAATCCCTGTTGACTGTGAGTGTAGAGTGCCAGTGCCGAAACTTTTTAGAGGGGTTTCTTCAACTTTTAACATTCACAAAAGGAAGATTTTACAGAATATTGAAGTAGTTTACTTACCCTGCAAAATTTAAATATGTATGTGGGGTAAATAGTCTTACTTGAATCTGAAGTCCTTGAACTCATCAAACTCCTCATTAAACCATAGCTTAGTTGCATCATATGATGATGTTATTCTAACCTCACCTACAAAAAAGTATGTAGTTACAATCTTACTTAAGTATGTATATGGGGTAAATAGTCTTACTTAGGTTCACATAGTGACACAAAATAGGAAATATGACTAAGCTTATAAAACTCATCATTGACCACATTGGCCCTACAGCACTGAATAGCTACAATCAATGGTTCCTTCGAATCAGAATTGTAATATGGCAGTAGAGAGTCCACATGAGAATTCCACAAGGTACACATCAAGTAATTGTCACTGTTTTTTGTAGGCATAAACAGTAATTACTCAGTTAAGTTAATAGATAAAATACATGTAGGATTTAAGCTAAATTTACTTCATCTAGACAGACTTCTAATAAAGTATAACCATACGCATTATCACATATTTGAAAGTCAATCAATTTTGCTGCTCTACCACCCACAATCTTGTCAACAGGATTATAGATCTCCACTACACGATCCATAACATCTGCAAAATATTTAAATAACATAAGTTATATATAAGATTAAGCAGTTTTTTTTTTTTTCATTGTAATAGGAAGAGTAGAACAGTAGTACCAATGAGTTCTTTTTCATTTACTTCATTTGGATCTTTCAAAGAAACAAAACTGGTCAACCGAAACATATGCAGGGAAAACCCTTTAGAATTTATCAGTTTGACTTCTGTTTTGTAATTGAACTTAAGCATATACTTGTATTGTGTGATCTTGTACATGTAATAATTTGTAATAGCATAATTTTTTTTTATCTCATAGAGTTGTCCTTCTTTTATAACTTGTTTGTATTTTCTAACATCTGTGTTCTGAATATTGGCATGTATATAATCTCCCTGCAAATAAGAAAGAAATAAAGCAATAATCAGTCCCATGACTTTATCATTTTTTCTACTGTTACTTGTATTTTTTGACTCTATCTGCTGAATGAAGAACTAAGGATGTAAACATGTCTCTGTTACAAATGCAGTAAAAAAAATGTATTACCTGATCATCATGGAGCAAACACTCCATACTCTTGATGGTATTCCCTCCTCCCCTACTTTCAGGCACTACATACACCCTTACACAACGTACTCTAATACCTCTAAGTTTGTGTATAGGTTGGATATCTTTTACAGCAATAAAAAGGGAAGGCATCTTTAGAACTCTTTTGAAGATGGTTAATGGTGATGGCAAGAACAGTTTCAATCTAGGACGAAATACATCTCTGATTTGTGCCTTTTATAGGCACAAATGAGATATTCAAATCACAAGAATCGAAGAGTTTTAGTGAGCATCCACAACATTGGAACACCAACTATTCATTAAATGTTAATGTTCATTTAATTCATTCGAATTTTTAAATTAACCTAATATTTTCTATTAGGTTTGTATCATTATCTGGTACAGGTAGGTTATACAGATAGAATATATATATATATATATATATATATATATATATATATATATATATATATATATATATATATATATATATATAAGCAGGACGAATTTGAATTATATTGTGGTCTTGAAAGGTCAGAAACGATATAATTCTCTGACATTATATGCATTGGTATTCCCATGAGGGGTATAATGAAGGTAAATGTTGGTCCCGAAAGGGTGGCGAGAAGTCTAGAGGGGGGGTGGATAGACTTCTCTAACTTTTTCAACTTTCTTCGAAAACACACAAGGCAAATAACACTTTGGTAATTTCAATTCAAAATAACAAGCATCAACAAGATAACCAACTTAGAGTGTGCAGCGGAATAGGTAGCGGTAAAGTGTTATGCTTAATAGTGCAGTGCTCAAAGAGAGATTCTAAACATGCAACACGTTAGAAACACTTGATATGGTTCAAAGATGATGTACGTAAAATTTGGCTTACATGCATACGTGGGAACTATCAAACCCAGACAGATAAAGATATGCGATAAATCGTAATCGGGTTAGTTCGCAGTTAGAATAAGCATGCACAAAATATATGAGCAGTATGTAAATAGAGAGAGAGATTTATAGTGGTTCAGAGGTGGTGTAATCCTCCTAGTCCACTCTTCTCCTTTCACTTCAAGGAGGAAATTCACTATTCTTCGATCACCCAGATACAAATAGTGAATAAGTGTCCACCGACACTTCTCCGAGTGCTTTGCACAAAGCTACACTCCTCCAAGGTTTTTCGCAAGCTCCTCTTGTTACTCCGCCTTCCCGAGTACTTCGCACCAAGCTGTACTCCTACACCACGAGAACTACGCACAAAGCTACGTCCTCACAGGGTTTTCACAAGCTCCTTTTGTTACTATGCCCTTTACACCGAGTGCTACGCACAAAGCTACACTCAACCAGGGTTTTTCACTCTCTCTAGTTACTCCGCCCTCTTTCTACACTCAGTAGAGAATTTTACAAAGAGATAAAATTTTTCTCTCACTCAGACTTGAATTTAATCGTGTATAGCTCAATATATCACTTGATGATTGATTGGATATTCTTTGCTGTAGAATTCGAATATTGCTCTTGTTCTTGTTGTAATTCAAGTGTCGAATTCTTGTTGGTCTTCAAGTCTGCTTGGACAATTTATAGCCAATGAAAGCTATTTGCCCGTTGATCAACTTTCGATCTCGATCGTCCATTTTGAATTGTAGTTGATCAAATAATATTGTCAACTTGACCTGAAATATTAGGTAGATGTCATTTCTCCTTTTGTCAGATGATTTGAATAATTTGCCCGTTGCCGTGTCTTGAATTTTGTAGCCTCCAAAATTTGAATAAGTTCGGCGCGGCAATCTTTGACATTTCTGGTCCTTCATAAATGCTCTGACATGTCAAGTTGATCAAATAATTTATCTGCTGATTCTTGCTTGAGTATAAAACAATTTCTTCGCGAATCAGCCTTCTTCGAGCGTCTCCGGTTTCACCGTAAAAACTTGATGATCAGATGAAAATATATCAGATATTTTCTCCTTCATGATCCTTGTAAAATAATATACTGGAACCTCTGTAAAAACTTCATAGTTGTTCATGGTGAGATGCTCTGTTTCGAATTTCAGCTTGGTCCACCATACTTGGTGTGATTCTCCATATGGTGCATGGCTCTTGTGAGACTTGTGCATTTTACTTAGTCTCCACATTGGCTAGTCTCCAATCTTAGCTAGTCTCCAATACATTCAAGCTAGTCTCCCATACGGTTCAATATACTTGAGCTAGTCTCCCATACGGTTCAATATACTTGAGCTAGTCTCCCATACGGTTCAATATACTTGAGCTAGTCTCCCATACGGTGGAGGTTAGTCTCCCATATGGTCCAAGCTAGTCTCTCATACGGTCCAAGCTAGTCTCTCATACGGTGTTAAAAATGCTTCACTTGAGATTTGAACTTAGGATCATTTGGCATAGCTCACACGCGTTTCTTCCAACTCCTCTAGCATGGTTCTTGGTGACTTATACGCAACATAATTGTGTTAAGCTATAATCCCGCTTAACTTCTTCAAATAAATTATGATCCTCCAAACTTGTACGTGGGTTGCATGATATAGGTGCACCATACTCCGTAGACTCTAACTGACTCAAATGTAACAAAAATGGGGACTACTTGATTTTTCAAAAATACATTTGGCTCATCAAAATTTACAATATATTCCTAACAATTTCCCCCTTTTTGATGATGCCGAAACTTATACCCAAGTCATTTTGGCTTTGTCAATTTTGAAAAATAATTTCTTTTTAATTGCTTTTATTTCGACTAGCCAATTGACGGGTTTAACAAAAAATTTGTGACTTAGAGATTTAAAATTTGGACGACCTAAACGTATATATGAGACTTTGATCGTGGGGTGTTCAATTTACTTTTAGCTTGAATTTTTCTTCCCCCTAAATTTTATATTCTCATTTTATACGTGTTACAAAATTAATTCTAAGTCCAAATTAAAATCTTGTGACATAAAAACACAAAATAAATAAATTAACTAGGACTTACTTAGTATGGTACGAAATATTGTCATCATGCAATTTCAACCCATTTTAGCTTAGCATAGATATAATATCAAAGAGTAATGTGCTAGCTAAAATAAATTATACACCAAAAATTGATTTGTCAAACGAAATTTTTTACCTCCCTTTCAACTTGGCATTGATGAAGTCTCTCAATTTCTTGAAGTCCTTTTCGTAACTCTTGTGTTGAAAGGGTGCGGTCACTTGTCCGGTGATGTAGTTGCCATAAGCTTCTCTTATATTTTCTCCTTTCAACACTCCGGCTTCATGCCAAAAGATGCATTCGTCAAGTGTTCGGCCATCACTCATTTGGTCACTTCGGTGTCCGAACTCCGTTTGAAGCTCTTGTAATTTTTGTATTCTTGTTGCAATTGGCTTCGGCATTTGTGGCATTGGAGCAATCGGTCTCGGTGGCAACACACCATGAGAAGTTGAACTCGAGCTAGGACAAGTTTCTCTAAAATAGTCCATCATGCTCCCTCGGCTTCTAGGTGTAGTTGTCGGTCGAACAAGTTCCACTAGAGGTCCTCTTGGTCGTGGAGCTCTCGGTTGGGTCGCATAGGCATAGGCTTGTGGTACAAAATGACTTGCCAATCCTTCCCCCTTTTCGGCAGCATTAATAAACCTTTGAAAGCTTTCGGTGGAAGAATTTTGCTTGTCACGAACTCCTTCAAGTAAATCCAAGTTGATACGGGATTGTTGAAGTAAACCTTGCACTTGTTGTTCCAAAAGTTTGAGTCTTGCGGTTGTATCGGACCCATGTTTTCCCATGTCATTGAACAACTTCATCACATCATTCTTCAACTCATTCTTTGCCGTATCAATTTCGTTCTTCAATAGGCCTTGCCTATTAAACAATTGTTGAGCACGGTCCACCATCTCCTTGTGATAACCATCAAGCTTGGTATCCATTGCATCCATTTTAGTGTTCAATTCACCCGTAGATTCTTGTAGAATCGACTTAACATCCCCAACAATTTCTTCCCTTAGGGCTTGAGCATTGAACATTGGTTCACTTTGTACGGGTGGTGTTGGAATCGGCAATGGGTGTGCAAAATCATCTTGTGGTGTGGTGATCATTGTGTCAACAAGGTTGGCTTCAGCTTCTTCGGTGTTGTAGCAAAGTAACAAAGTAGACCGATTTCTTGGATGATCTTGATCATAGAACTCATAAGAAGGTGGCAAGGTAGGCAAGTTCCTTGTTTCATCCAAGTTTAAAGAAATCCCTTGACTTGGTGCATTTCCTTCCTCATGAATGGATCCCGTAACCTCCGTTTCGGGATGTGGGAAATAAGACTCAAAGCTCAAATTTTCATCCCCAAAATTTGCAGGATACGGATCAATCTCCGGGAGCCCTACATCATCATTCCTCACAAAAGATCCCTCTCCGAGTCCTCTTCGGCTATCCTCCAAAGACATAACGGTTGCCCGGCGAATATCATTGGGATCAAAATCACCTATAGGTACTTCGGTTGTGGCTTCAATCATAACACCTTTTTCGGCTTTCTTCTTCTTGGCAAGCTTAGTCAAAAAGTGAGAATTAATCACCGAAAGACGGGTAGCTCTAGCAAGATCACGTGTGCCTAACCAACTCAACGCTAGTTCTTCTCTTTCCAAGGTATTTGACCCTATTGTTTCGGCCAACATGTTGTGATCTCCTAATCTCCATGCTCTCCATTCAAGTGCTCTTTTATACTCCTCCAAAAGTGCACTATCCGCTCCAATTGTTGATATCTCATCATCACTTCCAACTTCAATTTGGTCATTCACAACAACATCCACTTCAACTCTATTTTCTTCAATAAATCCGTGGCTCTCAAGGATAGGATGGTTCGGGTTTTGAGTGGGTAAGGGTCTAGAATTTTGTTGGCTAGTTTGTTCTTCATTGGATCGAACGGCGGGGGTGTTCGATCCTTCATTGCTTGGTTCTCGGATATATTGTTTAAGATCTTGGAAGGGGTTGGGCAATTTTCTTTTTCGGGTGGGTTTTGGTAGGCTTGTGGGTAAGGTGGGATTTTTTGGTTCATTTGTGTTGGGTGGCCGAAAGAGATAGCTATGGTTTGTAATGTGTTTGGCTTTGGTAAGGGTAACATTTTTGGTTCTCAAAATTTCACCAACGGCAAACCCGTAACCAATCTCTTGTTGAAACCATCCATCCACCAAAGGCTTGGCCT